CCCCCCCCCCCCGGGCCGTGCACTGTGTGCTCTGGCCCCTCTGCCTGATGCCCACGCCTCGCCCTGTGCCGGCCATCCCGTGTCCCGTCCCCATGACGTGGAGCACCCCTGCTGGTGCTGGCTGTCTTAGCGGGCCCTGTAACCCTCACGCCACACGGGGGCTGTGGTTATCCTCTTATGAGTGCAGAGCAGAGGTACAGAGCTGAGTCTCCCCACCACGCTGCCCTGCTCTCACTGGCCCCCATGCATGCCCCGCGCCGGCGGCTTTGCTCTGCCTTCTGGCCAGCCCTCTCCCCTCTGGCCAGGGGCCCCCACAGCACTGGCTGCCCCCTCCCAGGCCCTTAGCTGATGTGCCAGCCGACTTTTGTATGTTGGGGGGCCTGGCTGTGAGGGGTTCCGCTCAGCTTCGCCTTTGCCCTGCTGCCTCCCCACTTGTCCTGAAGACCCGTGCCCTTCGGTGGGCTCAGGTGGGGGGAGGCGGGGCCGTGTCCTTGAGGACCCCACAGCTAAGACGCCCTAGATTCTGGCTGTGGCGAAGGAACCTGCGGACGAGGGTCGCCCGCCTCATGTGCGGGACCCATCCTCAAGGCTATCTCTTGCCCGGGAGTTCCCCGAAGGGGTTCAGAGGGCTGCCCCAGCAGGAGGCCCCAGCGGCTGTGGGCACGTGGGACACAGTGAGCACATTCTATTCTGTGTGCTTTTGCCTGGTAGCATTTCCAGAACCAGAAATTCTTATAATAAAGTCTCGTTAGTAAAGACAGGAAAACCTCTTTTTTTAAAAAAAAAAAAAGATATGACAAATCTTTACAAAAGGCAGTAATGCTTCTGGGGGGATTGTGTCCCTGGGGGTCTCGACCTCTGTCCTGGCCAGAAAATTCATGTCTGGGTCCCTTTTCTGGGCCTGGGCCCACCCCTCGTGACCCTGGGTGGCCTGTCTCTTCCTCCGGGTTAGGGTTGTGGGAGGGGGTGCTGTGCACGTGCCCACAGAGGGACAGCCAGTGGGGCTTCCGGAAGCATTGTGAGCAGCCTGGGGTGGGTTCCCCAGCACATCGTGTTCAGATGGGCCCTGCTTCTCTGCTTGCCGTGCAGGCTGCCCGGGGGCCTCAGCCAGCTCAGGAGAGCCATCAGCAGGGACCTTGAGACCAGGGGACCAGAGGGGTCTGGCCGAGGGGTGGTCGGGACATTGCTTCCTGCTCCAGCCCATAGCTGCCCTGTGCAGGCTGCAAGGTCAACACCTGCTCAGGCCATTGCCAGTGGGGTGTTTGTTCAGTTTCCTCCAGGCCCAGCTCTGAGTTCCTGAGGGCAGGGTCCCCCTACTGACATCATCCCCACAGGCAGCCTCACAAGAGCTGGAACTTGCCGTGTGAGGTGCTGGGAGCCCAGGGGCTCCTGGCAACATCTGGGGCCGTGCCTCTGCTAAGGTGGGCGCCTTCCAAGAGGCCAGGGGTCCTGGGTGGTGGTGATGGGAGGCTTCCTTCCCTTCCCAGTGGCACCTCCTGTCTTGGGAATGGGCACGCTATCTCAGTCCCCGTCTGGGCAGGTACATGGAGGACATGGTGGGTGGTAGCTGGCCCCCCTGTCCCTGTGCAGACCTCAAGGAGAGGCCCAAAGCCTCCTGCAGCACCTGGGTTGGGACTGGGAGTCAGAGCACATGGGCTTAGATCTCGACAGGTGTGCTGTGTCCCAGCCTGGCTCTTGTGATGGTCCCTGTCGGGGTGGGTGGGAATCCTCGGGGCTGGAGGGGCCGGCTGGGAGCCTGTCTGCCCCCCCCCACCCTGACACCTCTGTCCTTGGGCAGCCTGCCTGTGTAAGCCCGCGAGGCCCTCCATGTGCTCACCCGCCATGAAGTGCTTCCAGGTGCCCGGGGCTGCCCCCAGGCTGCGGCGCCCTCTGCAGAGTCCCTTGGGCTCCTGTCATGCCGTTCTGCTGGAGGCACTGCCTCAAGGTCAGTGTGACCTCTGCGGGTAATCCAGGAGCCGCCCCTGCCATGGGTGTCGTGTGGGTGCCCACCTCCGTCGCCTCACCCAGCTCTCCATCCTCTGCCTGCTCCCCGCCCTGGAGCCGTGGGCTGCCTCTCCCCAGC